TTATTGTTGTTGCTGTTGTCCATTGTTGTCATCTTTCTTTGTTGAAATCAGGTCTCTCTTGTAAATGAGTCCTCGAGGCTCAATGGGATTTACCTGTAGAAATAAAGGTTGATTGATCCATGATAAGTGGCCAATAGCCTCCACAGCGCCCCCTATATTATTCCTACAGTTATATCTCAGTGATACATCATCCAGTCTGCACCAGATTTATTGTAAGTAATCAGTGAGCACTTTTACGCACATTGGTATTGTTGTTTAACACTAGACTCAAGTGCGCCCCCTAGATTATTCCAGAAGTTATATCTTTTTGATACATCATCCGATCTGGACCTGATTTTGTGCTTGATCAGTGAGCACTTGTAGACACATTGGTATTGTTGATTCATGACATCACTTAAGCCCCACCTACTCAGAGAAAAAACACTTGATTATGGATGACTCTTACAGCTTTGCCCAGTGTAAGATATTAGACTGAAACTTTGTTCACTAACTGTTCATTACCACACATGACATGTTGAAAAGCATAAAGGCAGTGCTCATCAAACATTTACGACAAAACAGAAAGTCACAATAACTCTGTCTGGAAGGTTGGATTTTGCCTATACTTGTAAGACCTGAAGCTGGACAAGTACTGACATGGACGGAAAGCAATGTTGAACATTTGGGAAATGCGCCCCGTGGGGAACGCGTTCGGGATTGGCACGAGAGCGTTAGCAATGGTGACTGGGTGGACTAGCTGGAGCTCCCTCGGTCGCCATAATGCCGGAGCGGCACTTTGCTGCGAGGGCCTCCAATGCTGCTTGCAGCTTTAATTAGTTTTGTTCCTACATGCTGAAAAAAAGGTGAGCAGCACAAAAATACTCTGCTCTCTGCCATGTATTATATGTTGTTAGTGCAGAAAATATTTGGGCAGCAGCCGCCTGTATATGCATGTGCGACTTCACTTGTGGAGCACTTCACACCTCCGTGTGGGGTTCCTCCCAAAAAATCTCAATTCTGAGACCTGGATTCAGAAACCTTCGGTGTCTGTAAATGAACAGCCATTGTGTAAACGGGGCCTCAGACTGGCTGCCCTGTCTGCCAATCAAGTGACAAATTTCATAGTGAGGATGGATGATAGGCTGACGTCTATTTTTTTTTAATTCCATGGCTTTTACCCATAATATCTTCGCGATCGACCAATAGATCGCAATCGACATATTGAGCACCCTGATCTAAGTGATTCATTTTGTAAAGATTATGTAATGCCGAGAGAGAAAACGAAACAGGTAAAGTTGCATGTTATTAGCTCACCGGCGTCATGCGTAGTGGAGCATGAGTGCCAGAGCTCTGCATGACTCTGTTCAGAGTGTCTGAGAACATGAATCGAAGCTCTCCAGAGTAACAGTACACTGCATCGATCTTAGGCCACCAGTCCAGATGTGACTAAAAGAAGGAAACACAAGAAAGGTAAGCAACACAAGACATTCTGTTGTACATGTGGAGCAAAGATGCCCTGAAAACTTACATTAGTAATAATTCTATGCAAGGAGTTGACCAAGACGAAGTGAAAGGTCGACGGGGAAGTGGAGGCCAAACATACCTATAGTGAAAACAGAAATAAAAAATGATGAAATTAAAAGCAGCTTAACACAACAGGACGAGTTTCAAAAGATCCTACCTGTGTGAGGCCCTGTTTAGACCTAGCTCTAACATCCAGTGGTCAGCTCTGATTGTGAGCATTCACA